CCAGCCGCGTTCCCCCTTCCCGCCCATCCACCTGCCGCCACGAGTCCCCGACTAGATCCCCAGGTTAGTTTCAGTGCGGAGCGAAGTGAGGGACGTCTGGAAAGGAGAGGGGGGAGGAGGCAAAAGCCTAGGAAGGGGGGGGGGGCAGAGGAAAAAGGAGGAGGGAGAGAGTTAATGCTGGGAGAGTGTGGCCACGTCTTGGGGAACAGGGGGTGGTGATCCCAGGGAAAAGAGTGAGAAATTGATGAGAGGGCAAGTTTAGCCTAGACGAGGAGGGGAGGACCTGAGTAATCAAAAGGGATAAACTTGGGTTTGCTCGAGGGCAAGTGAAGTCTCGTCCAGCGTAACTGTTGAACATCTCAGTATCCATTGCCGTTGACTTTCTGGAAACCATTGTACCCAGCGATGCCCCTACCCCGCGAGGGACTCGGTTCTCCTCCTTCAGTGAACCTCTCTCACCCTTTCACCCTGCGGGACCTCAGGTCTGGGGAGGTCAGTTTCCTGACCCTGACCGCAGGAGTCAGCGCCCCATGCTTGCCTCCTTCCGCCTGGTTTTTGTTTGGTCTGGTTTTGAAGGGATAAATTCTGCCAAGCTACTCTGCCATCAACAGAGTAGGTCAGGGTCGAAGCATCTTTGGGGAGTTAGATTTTAATTTGAAATTCTCTTTTCCTGTTATTTCAAGTTCTGGCCATAGTCATGTTTATCAAAAAGTGCTTTTGCCTCTACCTTTGACCACATCACTCCTGTCTTCAGAATGTGGCAACTGCAAATTACCTGCTTTATTTACTCATTTATTTATATTCCACCATGCTTCAACAAAAACAAAGTTGTAAGGTGGCTTACAAGATACAAATGATACAAAATAGAAAAATAAGAGAGGATAGCAAATGAAAAAATACAGGTAGGAAGAATACTACTAATCTGTATTATTTACTCGATTTGGAAGCTCCACACAAGCTGCTTATTATTTATTCTCTCTTCAAGTCATGTTCCAGCCTGTTTTTCCTTGCCCCTGTTTTCTCTTCCCTTTCCTTTTCCCATAACTTTTCCAAAGTTACCAGCATGCATCAAAACCGTGCTCTCCCAAAAGCCAGGCATATTTGACTGTTTGGAAGGCAACCTTACAGTGGACCTGATTACCAGGGAGCTGCCTGAGAAGGGACTCATCCCAAGGGAGAGAGGGGACCGAGGTCTACAGGTTTAGCCAATGATAGTAGACCAGCATCAGAAAACAGTGACGTTGAAACCCTGGGACAAGGCAAGAAATAAAAGAGCCTGTGAAGCTTTAAAAGAACTGAGGCATTGAGAGTATGAACTCCCGCAGCCACGGGCCCCCGGGGGCAGAAGTCAGCGGCAGCGGCATCAACCGGAACCAGCTGAGAGCTGCAACCTCAGAACTGAGTTTCTACAGGTGCAGGAGCTTGGCTCCTGCTGTTGCTTGAGCCATGAAGACAAGAGGACTATAAAGAGGAACAAAATGGTGGACACGGAGGCCAAAAGCTGTGGGTCTCAGCACCATGTGAAGCACACTCACCACATTGCACAGGGATTTCAGGGAAGTTAAAGCACTCCAGACTGATCAAATACAAACTTCCTGTTTTGTGACCCTACTTTTATTCCTAGCATAAAGGAGCCTGATTCCAGCTGCTTCCTGGAGTTCATTAAATAAACCCCAAATTCACATCTAGAATCTGACCCCTGTTTACTGTTCTAGCTTTACCTTCCATCGCTCTCATGTCACTCACCCATTTCCCACTGGACACATGAAAACTGCCTTTGGAATCCTCAAAAGAGTGCCCTGCAGTTTCCCATCAGTGTGCCTCTTCAGGTTGCTCGCACTCTGCCACTTTTGCCCTTTCTCCCTGCCATCTCACTCCCATACTTCAGTCACGTTGCACTGACCCCTCCACAGCGGTTCTGATGCCCATGGAATGTTCTGTCCAGACCTCACGATGACATCCCTAACATTTCAGTGTCTGCTATATGCTCGTTTCCTCCAGTAACCTCTTTAGGTCAAGAACAGCTTCTGATTCCTTGTTCTTACCTCATTGCCTAGAATATGGACCAGCATGTAACAGATTCTTAATAAATATTTGTAGCAAGAATGAATAGATGAATTTCCGGATCCTCCTGGAAGCATCCTGTTAACAAAGTTGAACTGTGGAGGGAAAACTTGGCCCTCAGGTATAACTGAATGTTCTGCTCTGCCCTGGTATTGAAGCAAAAATAGAAAAGAAGACCACACATGAATACACAAAAGAGAAAGTCTTAAATGGTTTTCATTCTTTAATTAAGTAAGATTGTTGAGTGTGACATTATTGCCTTTTGCTTGTCTCTAACTGGCATTGCATCAAAAACCCCTGAGTGCTCAAACTATTAAAACTAATGTGGTTGCCTTGAGATTAGGTCAACAAACAGAACATCATTAGCATAATTCACCCTCAAGAGACTCATTCTGCCTTCGCTTGAATTACCCCAGCAGATGAAGACAAAAGAGACAATTTTATCTAAGTGTGCTTCACAAGCTGCCTGAGTTCCTTGCATCGAAACCATCTCCCCACTCAACTGCGTAAAGGTCTCCGTTTCCCAATATGGAAATTAATTACTGTACAACCATTTGTCTTAAATCTGTAAATAAAGCATGAAGAAAGCATATGCCCATTTAAAAACTCAGGATATATGGCCAAGAGGAGAATGAAATCAGTGGCAAGGGGTTTCAAATTTATCTTTTTAACTATTGTTTTTGTAAAAAACAAAAAGTGATACTTGCTCCTTATTTAAAGAAAAAGGTCAGGAAGTGCAGAAAAATATGAATCAGAAAGTAAACTAAAAAAAAAAAAATCACCTGAAATTCCACCATCCAAAAATAACCCTTGTATGCATTCCAAGGACATCATTCCAGAACCTAGTGCCATTAAAACCTTGAAGGATGTGTCTGTTGAACTAGGATTTGCAAAGAGACAGGTGAATTAATTTTGTAAAACACCACCGGAAATAACAGAGTGACTCTCAACATGTCAGTTACCATCCCAATTTTTAGGTTTTGTCTCTACACATATATCTAAAAAAGAAAGAGAATGGACAAAACTAGAGATTCAGTGAGGTCTTACTTCAGTTCAGAACATTCAACCAAATGAGTCATTCTTAACATGAATCATTTTCTCACACTTTTCAATCAGGAGTTTTAAATGTAATGTTTATTTTGAATCCTCACCCATTCTGATACACAGCTTGCCATCAGCCAGCGTGACTGTAGCCCATGCTGGGCTGCCTTACCTTGGAACCATCGCTGCTGTGGAAGGTTTATTTATATTTCCAAATTTGTCAACGGCAAGGGGGGAGTAGGATGGAAAAAAGAAAGCCCCAAAATTGTAGCAAACCAATGCAAAGTCCTTGGTATGAACTAGGATTGTCCGAAATGGGTTATTTCTTACTTAAATATAGGAGTATCATAATTTTCTGTCTACTTGTACCTAAGGTGCAACAATAAAACTAAATGTTTACAAAGTTCCTGTCTTCTAGGGAGCTCAAAGAAAAATATTTATATAAGTGAGCTCAGCAGTTTTCCAGCATTAAAATAGGGAAACTGAAGCATTTTCTCATTTTTGTCTATTAACTAAGCCTCTTGTGTGGATAGGCTTAGTTAACAGACGAAAGTTGGTCACTGGTTCAAGTTAATACTGTGAGTCAGTGGCAGAAAAGCCAAAAATAGAACTTTGGTTTCTTTCTTTCTTTCTTTCTTTCTTTCTTTCTTTCTTTCTTTCTTTCTTTCTTTCTTTCTTTCTTTCTTTCTTTCTTTCTTTCTTTCTTTCTTTCTTCTTTCTTTCTTTCTTTCTTTCTTTCTTTCTTTCTTTCTTCTTTCTTTCTTTCTTTCCTTTCTTTTTCTTTTTTTTTAACCTACATACTTTCCCTAGCTCTCACCTCATATCCAATAAAAAAAAAAGAATAATAATTTTTAAAGCCACTAAGTCATCATCATGAAACTTTCAGCTGAGCTGGTATTTTTCATAGGAGCAAGATGCCATGATCCACCATTATTAGCCCAACATTTAATTTCTTATTTTAATAATGGATGATACTAATGCTGACAAGGGTGTGGATGAAGGAGGGGCCACAGTACTTTTACTTTTATTATCAAGAAACAGAAATGAGTTTAACTGAGTTCTTGAGGTTACTTTGAAAATAAGTGCCAGTTAGTATGGAAAATCACTTTTAGGCTCTTCCATATGAAACTAACAATAAGGAGACCACTGCCTCTGTGTAAAACCTGCATGCTGGTATTATCTATAAACTGTGCACTGAAGTAAAACTGTTTCAACTTAAAAAAGTACTAAAAAATACTCCTAGAAGAAAAAAATAATAATACTCTTTTTTTTTTTATCACTATTGACCATTGTTAGAATTTCCCTTTACAGGTAACCATGCTGTGTATCAATAATGTGGTAGGGAAGAAATGGATTTATACCAATACCCAGCCTATATAATTGTAAAGCCATGTGTAAAAGTGATCTGAGTATTGCTGAGAGGAACAGAGCCCAGAACTGTGCTCTTTATCAGAGTGATCTTTAGATTAAGAAAAATAACCATGTCCTCACATTTCAGTAAATTGCATTTCTTTGGAAATGAAGCAAATGAAGTGGTTGGTGATTACAGGAAATGAGGGATGACAAAACATTCTGAGTTAGTCCTAGGAAGGTCAGCCTTGGAGGGAAATTTAGGGACCCTCCAGTCCATACTCTCATCTTGCAGGTGAAGCAAGTCCTAGAGAGAAGTGAACTGTACAAGGTTATAATTTTTAAATAGATACAAGCAGGAAGGGTGGTCACCTGACACAATGAACAACAATGTTTGGCTCTTTTTCACATCCTCCTCTTTACAGGTATCTTTTGGATGTCTCATGTTCACCATTGGCATTGTTTTTTTCAAGTTTTAACTTCTATAGGCATATTGAGAGAAAGAGTAGAGAGAAAGAAGGCATTGTGAATACAGTAATATTCTCCCTAAACATTACCCTTCTGAATATGCAGTAGATTTGGCGTTTAAATACTTGTGCTTCCATGTCCTTATGCTTCTGTGACCATCAATTTAAAGAAAAGTCTAAGTGCTTAGTCGAAATGAGCAACCAGCATCTATTCCAAACTGAATATGCATTTAGCTCCACACTGAGGATGATGAGATGATTCAATACTACTTGGTTCCAAAATTCCATATGTGGTTTTGGAAAAATTTAAAGAAATCTGTACTATAATGAAAAAACATAAAGACTAGAAATCTAAATATAAAAATGTAATTATTCAAAAACAATGGAAGTCACTATAGTTATTACTAAGCAAATAGATGATGAAAAGAGGTCCTGTTAAACAAAAAACTGGAATACTTAGCAATTACCTTTCCATATGGAAACTGGTAAAAAAAAGTATAAGACATAGTCTGGGAATGAGTGTTAAACAAGATTTTGAAGCTCTCTAAACAATACTTGGATAAAAAAGAGAAATATGTGTGTTTATTTCCTATGCTGCAGGATTTTATTTCCTTTCATTTCTGAGTCTCAAATTTTTGGAACTTTCCCCATTTAGAGATCTAAATTAGACAATAAAGAAATTTAAGATTAATTAACTTAGAAATGAAAGATTAATTGATTTAGCCTTATTAAATGCAATTTGGTCTTCAAAAGGCATCTCTTTTTTTAATTTTTTAAGATAATTTACAGAAGTGTGTACATTTTAAACCAAATAATCAGGTTGATGGTCACTGCTATAATTTGTCAGATAATTGCTGTCACCTCACTAACAGCAGAGTTTGCCCAAACAAAGTCTATATAAAACCTCGGGCCATTACAAAATTAGCCTTAGGAGTAAACTATTGATGATAATGAGAACATAGGAGCATGACCAGAGGGTAACTTCTAGGGAGTCCTATGCTTGAGGAGAATTTCACTGTATTCATAATGCCTTCTTCCCTCTCTACTCTTCTCCTTCCAATGTGTTTATGGAAGTTATTATTTGGTAACAGTAATTCCAACAGTGAGCTTGAGACATCAAAAGAATAAAGAATAACTGTTAAGATGAGAATATGGACAGAGCCAGGTAATGTCAGACTTAGGAGTAAAATCATTAATAATGATAATGATCATCACAATAATATTAATACATTTATTAAGTGCTGTAGGCAATGTTATATGAAGTGTCCAATTTAATCGTTACAGTAACTTTATGAAGTCAGTGGTGTTTTCTCCTTATTTGTGGGAAACTGAGTGGAAAAAAATGCCTTTTGATTTATATAAAAGCAAACACAAGATCTTCTCTATTCTGTAAAGGGAGACATTTCTTGTAATATTAAATATGTATTAATAACCATAAACTGTTACACATCTTAGAAACTTTTCCACATCTCTTATCAAACAACTCTATTGGTAGTATTTCTATTGAATATAAATAAAATAAACAAAAACCCAGGGAAAACCAATTTGCTACAAATGTTTGGAGCTTTTCTTTTTTTGTTGTTTTTGTTTACTTTGCTTTTTTTTTTTAACTGAAGTATAGTCAGTTTATAATGTTGTGTCAATTTCTGGTATATAGCATAATAGTTCAGTCATCCATATACATATATGTATTTGTTTTCATATTCTTTTTCTTATAGGTTACCACAAGATATTGAACATAGTTCCCTGTGCTATACAGTAGAAACTTGTTTATCTTGGAGCTTTTGTTGACACAGGTTTCTAAAACTGTATGTAGTTACTGAGTTCCTAGAAGAGTCGCTATATACTGATTATATGCCAATGGAATATATACAATATACATAAAAAATTAATGCTAGAAAGTTATGGAGAGGGTGAAAAGGGAAAGTGAGTTTGAGTGAAATTGAAGAAAGTGAATCATCTTTTTTTTATTGTATTTCTCTTTTATTCTCTCTCCTCTTTCTCCATACATATACACACAACTTAAAGAAACAATTATTCTTTTCAGACAGAATAGCAATTATCAATCTATTTTTCTCCTCTTTTCAGATGTTAGGAAAAGGAGAACTAAACATGCTGAAAATTTAAGCTTCAAAGCAATATAAAATGAGAGTTGGTGTCTTGTAAGGAAGAACTTAGAAAAAAAAAAAGAGCAACCTAGCTCTCTTTCTCGAGTATATAATCAGTGCTTAGAATTCACAGCAGCAAAAAGTTATAGAGAAAATTGCCATGATCACATTTTTTTCAAATTGTAGGTTTATTTTTTGACTTCTAGGGACATTAGAGAGTGAAGGTATTTAGGTAATTCAGACCATGACTACAAGCATTAACCAGTTAGTGGGTACAAAATAGTTTGCAAATCTAATTTTAAAAAGAAAACTTACTTTCTTAAAAATAAAAACTGGCAAATAATATTATATTATTGCTATTTATACTGCAGGATTGTTAAGTCAGAAAAAAAATCTAAGGGAATTTTAAAAATCATGATTTGGGATATAAACTGGAGAAATTAAAGTATCATTTCTGTATCTCCAATATTGTTAAAAAGCTTTTTTGACTAGCATAACCAATGTTTTGATTTGAAAATACTTTTACAAATCTACCTTTGTGAGGTAGGTTTATCCAGGTAAATAGTTAGTAAACCTAAATATTCCAGGAAAGGGAATGACCTGACCTGTGGGATCAGTTTGACCTGCTCCCCATGAAGAGGAAGCCAAGTATGAGACAGAAAAGACCATCTCTTGCTCTGTTCTTCCTTTCTGTTTAAAAGTGATGTTTCCATTCAATTTTTCAGAAATTCCTGTATCAATATATTTAATATATTTCCCAAGGAAATATAAGTACTACCAAGTAAAGAGCATTAATTTTAATTCTTTGATTCACTGTGATCAAGAGCAAACACCACATGATAAAACGTACGTTGAGTGTGGCAAAGTTAGGCAAACTGGTAAACTATAGGGTAGTCATTTCTTAAAACATGTTTATTGTCAATTCTGAATTACCTAATGAAGCAATTAAGCCCTTTTATATGAGGAAATTACCTGAAAATTGTGTCTAAGGTAATGTGAATGCTGTATAATTCTTTGGTGGCCAAGAATGAAAAAAAAGAACTAGAAAAACCAACAAACTGAATCCCACTAAATGAGTCAGAAGAGAGAGAGGTGTGTAAAGATAAAAAGGACAAGGGTCTCGGACATACCAGAGTCCTGCCAATGTCAATCACATGGCCTCAGTCCACATTGTCTCTACCTCCATTGGATCCTCTATTTCAAGGTAACTCCATCGATTACGGCCAGCGGCTAGTTTGTGGTATTTCACAACAGAGTTTCTAAACCCGGAGATCAGAAGCTTGAGATGTTTCAACAGAAAACAGAAACTTAATTAGATTATCCAAGACAGTTCTGCACAATTAACAGGGAAATTGATGAGAGGAAAGACAGATGGTGCAGAGAGATGACAGTAGGGTTACAGTGTATCTAAGATTCAGTTTGAAACAGGAAGTTACAGATTAAAATAAAAATGTAAGGTATATATGAGATATGAAGACAGATTCGTGAGGAATCTTCTATGCAGTTTTGTTTAGAAGAAAGGGCCTCCAACTTTAGGAGAAACTTTAGGTGTCGAGCACCAGAACTTTAAAATCAGGAAGTTTAAGAAAATTGCGGTTTTTACAGAAAGAACATTTTAAAATTAAGAAATGCTACTCAAATATTTAATAGAAAGAAGTGTTCATAGAATACATTAACGGAGAACTTTGTTTGCCTTATTCAACCTTTTGTGAATAGCTACCAGAATTTACAAGCATGTGTATTTTTACCAATGATTAAAAATTATCAGAGCAGCTGATGTTCTTGAGAACTTCTAAACAAACAAACATTAAAAAAAAAAGTTTTCACATGTCATGTGAAGCAAAACCTTTCTAAGAAATCATCATGGCTACACAACCCTATAAAAGAACACTTCATTAATTTGTTGGGATTCATTATTTTAAATATTTTTTATTTGAAATATGTGAGTTTTTCATTTAGATTGCATTCTAAGAGATTATTTTATTCATTTATTCACAAATACTTTTGAGAAGTGATTGTGTGCCTATACTTTTAGATGCTGGAGATATATTGCTGAACAAGACTGATTAAAAAAAAATCTGTTCTGCATTCAGGTCTCACTATCCACACAAACACGCAGCCAAAGAGTAAGTTGGGGTCATAGTACTGGTCTAGTGTTGTCTCTTTGGACATGTCCACCACTGGCCAGCCTCCAGACTCCCACACACAGAACTGTGGGAATAGAGATGCTGTCGCTTGAGGGGATTTAATGTAAGATACCTATAGTAAATCGATCACTATT